CGTTTGATCGTCTGTTGGTCGACGGGGTAGGACCGTTGCCATGGACAAGAAGGGGAAATACCTACCTGATGACCATCATGTGTGCGGCAACAAGGCTCCCGGAAGCAGTCCCGATGCGACGGTTGAAGTCAAAAGGTGTAGCCGGGCAGTTGCAGTGTTTTTTCTCTTGGGTGGGAATGCCCAGGGAAATCCAGACGGACTGTGAGAGCGTATTCCAGTCCAAGTGGTTTAGACAGACCTTGACAAATTGGGGAGTAACTGAGATTCGGTCGTCGCCCTACCGACCGCAGTCGCAAGAGGCGATCGAAAGGTTTAACTCCACTCTGAAAACCATTCTGAGAGCGTTCTGTGCAGAACAAGGAGCCGAGTGGGATGAGGCAGTGTACCCTGCGTTGTTTGCTATAAGGAACGCTGTGGTGGAGTCGTTGGGTTTCTCACCGTTCCAACTGGTATATGAACATGAGGTATGGAGTCCTCTATCCATGCTGAGAGAGCAATGGGCGCCAGGAGTGACCGTGGGAACGGTCAACGAATATGTACAAAACTTTAAGGAGCGTCCTGCTTCGGCGAAAGAACTGGCAGGAAAGCATTTGAAAGAGGCGCAGCAAAAGTTGTCAGAGTGGTATGACAAGAAAGCTATGCCAAGAGAGTTCCAGGTTGGGTACCAGGTTATGGTGTTACTGCCAGGGAAGAGCCGTGTGACCGAGTCGCGATTTTAGGGACCGTATAAGGTGCTAAGACGATTGGGTCCAGTAAGCTATGAAGTCAGCAAGCCGGACAGACCCCCGCAAGACACAGGTGTGTCATGTTAACTGTCTGAAGCCTTTTTTCCCTGAAGAAGGAGAGCCGCCGTGCAGGACGGAACAATGCCACGAGAACTACAGCAGAAAGTGGTCTTATGCGTGCAGGTGAATCAAGAGATTCCAGCAGAGGAAGGAAAGTGGTCCAGGGCAGACGGCACCCATCTCTCCAATGCGGAGAGTTTGGAGAATATCGAAGTCAAGCTTCAACACCTGGAAGGAAGAAAGAGAGTGGATCTGACGGACCTGTTGAGAGAGAATGCATCTCTTTTTACAGACGTGCCCCGACACCACAAGAGTGTGACGCACGAGGTAGAGGTGAGGGACGCCAGGCCCATTAAACAGAGTGCTTATAGGGTTAGTCCTGACAAGCGAGAGTTGATGAGGAAGGAGGTAGAGTACCTTCTTGAGAATGACCTTGCCGAGCCTAGAAACAGCGAGTGGAGATCCCCGTGTTTGCTAGTGAAGAAAAGCGATGGTACATTCCGCTTTTGCACGGACTACAGGAAGGTGAACTCCATCACTGTGGCAGATTCCCACCCCATGCTCAGGATGAGTGATTGCATCGACCAGGTGGGTAGTGCCAGATATGTGTCCAAGGTCGACCTGCTGAAGGGGTACTACCAAATCTCGTTAACTCCCGAGGCTAGAAAGATATCAGCTTTTGTGACACTGGACGGGCTGTATCAGTACAAAGTGTTGCCCTTCGGGATGAAGAACAGCGGGAGTTGTTTCCAACGCATGATGAACGAGCTGCTGAGGAGAGCCGAAGGCTGCATAGTGTACATTGATGATATAGTAGTGTACTCCAACGATTGGGAGACACACCTAGAGCGACTCAGAGAGGTGTTCAGGAGGCTAGAAGATGCTAACCTGACCGTGAACCTAGCCAAGAGTGAGTTTGGGAAGGCCCATTTAGAGTACCTAGGCTTCGTCATCGGTCAAGGGGAGGTTACCCCTGTGGACCACAAGGTATCAGCTATTAGAGAGTACCCAAAACCCAGGACACGGAAGGAGTTGCTGAGGTATCTTGGGATGATTGGATACTATCGTGGTTTCTGCAAGAACTTTTCCACGATAGTGCATCCTCTGACAGAGTTACTCTCTAAGAATACACGATGGAAGTGGGGAGAGGCCTGCCAGGAGTCTTTCGAGAAGACGAAGAACCTGTTGACAGAGGCCATCAGACAGAGGCACATCAGAGGGAAGGACAACGTGGTAGCGGATGCCCTGTCCCGAGTACACTAAACCAATATGACTTATTTTAAGGGGAGGGGTATGGAACCCCTGGTGGGAACCCCTGGTCCCACCAGGGGTACTTCTTATTACGGAAGTTCCTCCATGCTTTTTTGTTCAGCTCCTTTGCTTTCATACATTCCCTAGTAAACCACGGATTCTTCTTTTGCTTCTCTGTTTTTTTCTGTCGGGCCGGGACAAACCTGCTTACAGCCTCCTGACACTTTTGGGTGACAGTCCATCATGTCTTGTACGGACTTGGTTCTGAGTTCTGTGTCCCATTGTATATCCCTAAGGAATTTATTCATCTCCTCTTAGTTTCCTTTTTGGTACGCCAGCCCTTTGTTTCCCAGTTCTTTTTTTGGGGAAATAATTCCTGTTGTGTGTGTGTGTGTGTGTGTGTGTGTGTGTGTGTGTGTGTGTGTGTGTGTGTGTGTGTGTGTGTGTGTGTGTGTGTGTGTGTGTGTGTGTGTACTTACCTAGTTGTACTCACCTAGTTGTGCTTGCGGGGGTTGAGCTCTGGCTCTTTGGTCCCACCTCTCAACCATCAATCAACAGGTGTACAGGTTCCTGAGCCTATTGGGCTCTATCATATCTACACTTGAAACTGTGTATGGAGTCAGCCTCCACCACATTACTTCCTAATGCATTCCATTTGTCAACCACTCTGACACTAAAAAAGTTCTTTCAAATATCTCTGTGGCTCATTTGGGCACTCAGTTTCCACCTGTGTCCTCTAGTGCGTGTGCCCCTTGTGTTAAATAGCCTGTCTTTATCAACCCTGTCAATTCCCTTGAGAATCTTGAACGTGGTGATCATGTCCCCCCCTAACTCTTCTGTCTTCCAACGAAGTGAGGTTTAATTCCTGTAGTCTCTCCTCGTAGCTCATACCTCTCCGCTCGGGTACTAGTCTCGTGGCAAACCTTTGAACCTTTTCCATTTTAGTCTTATGCTTGACTACATATAGACTCTATGCTGGAGCCGCATACTCCAGGTTTGGTCTGACATATGTGGTATATAATGTTCTGAAAGATTCCTTACACAAGTTTCTAAAGGCCGTTCTTATGTTAGCCAACCTGGCATATGCTGCTGATGTTATCCTCTTGATATGAGCTTCAGGGGACAGGTCTGGCGTGATATCAACCCCCAGGCCTTTCTCTCTCTCTGACTCTTGAAGTATCTCATCTCCCAAATGATACCTTGTATCTGGTCTCCTGCTTCCTACCCCTATCTTCATTACATTACATTTGATTGGGTTAAACTCTAACAACCATTTGTTCGACCATTCCTGCAGCTTGTCCAGGTCTTCTTGAAGCCTCAAGCTGTCCTCCTCTGTCTTAATCCTTCTCATAATTTTGGCGTCGTCAGCAAACATTGAGAAGAATGAGTCTATACCCTCTGGGAGATCATTTACGTATATCAGAAACAGGATAGGTCCGAGTACAGAGCCCTGTGGGACTCCACTGGTGACTTCACGCCATTCTGAGGTCTCACCCCTCACTATAACTCTCTGCTTCCTATTGCTTAGGTACTCTCTTATCCACTGGATCGCCCTTCCAGTTACTCCTGCCTATGCATCAGCCTTTTATGGTGTACTGTGTCAAAGGCTTTCCGACAGTCCAAAAAAATGAAGTCCGCCCATCCTTCTCTGTCTTGCTTAATCTTTGTCACCTGATCGTAGAATTCTAATAAGCCTGTGAGGCAAGATTTTCCCTCCCTGAACCCATGTTGATGGGTTGTCACGAATTCTCTTGTCTCCAGATGTGTTACTAGGTTTTTTCTCACAATCTTCTCCATCACCTTGCATGGTATACAAGTTAAGGACACTGGCCTGTAGTTCAGTGCCTCTTGTCTGTCACCCTTTTTGTATATTGGTACTACATTAGCTGTCTTCCATATTTCTTGTAGGTGTGTGTTTGTTTAGGTGTGTGTGTGTGTTTGTCTCTCTCTCTCTCTCTCTCTCTCTCTCTCTCTCTGTCTCTGTCTCTGTCTCTGTCTCTGTCTCTGTCGCTGTCGCTGTCGCTGTCGCTGTCGCTGTCGCTGTCTCTGTCTCTGTCTCTGTCTCTCTCTCTCTCTCTCTCTCTCTCTCTCTCTCTCTCTCTCTCTCTCTCTCTCTCTCTCTCTCTCTCTCTCTCTCTCTCTCTCTCTCTCTCTCTCTCTCTTTGTCTCTCTCTCTCTCTCTCTCTCTCTCTCTCTCTCTCTCTCTCTCTCTCTCTCTCTCTCTCTCTCTCTCTCTCTCTCTCTCTCTCTCTCTCTCTCTCTCTCTTTCTTCTCTCTTCTGCATCTGTCTCTTCTCTCTTCTCTCTTTCTCTCCTTCTTCTCTCTTATCTCTCCCTCTTGTCTCTGTTCTCTCCTTCTTCTCTCTTATCTCTCCTTCTTTCTCTGTCTCTCTCTCCCACCATTCTTTTTCTGTCTATTATCTCTCTCTCTTTCTCTTCTCCTCTCTCTCTTTCATCTTCTCTCTCTCTCCTTCTTTTCAATTCCTCTCTTATTTTTCTCTCTTCTCTCTCTTTCTCTCTTACTCTCCTCTCATTATCTCCTACTCTTCCTCTCTCGCCCCGCTCTCTCTCTCTCTCATCTCCCTTCTCTCTCCCCTCTCATCTCCTCTTCATTCACTCTCCACCTCTGTCTGTCTGTCTCTCTTTCTCTTAATATATATACTGTATATTTATTGAGGTATATATACTTATATTTTCATATATATGACATATACATTACAGGAGGCAGATCTGGCAGCCTTGGACTTCAGCCCTGGCCTGGATAGGTCTACGGTGGTGGACTTCACTGTGCCCATTGGACAAGACATGGTGGTGATCATCTCCAGAGTTCCCGACATAGTCATCAGACCCTTTCTTCTCCTCCAGATCTTCTCCCCCCTTGTTAGTACCAGTTTGACCACTTGTCTATTATATGATGTCAGGTGATGCTGTCGGCCAGAGTCAGAGTGTACAGTTGTGGGATTTTTTATTTGTAAGAATTACTGTAGTGCAATGATGATCTATCATCTCTAGATTTATCTCCTATAGAGTTATCATCATTAGAATTAACACCACTAGAGTTATCACCATTAGAATTAATACCACTTGAGTTATCACCATTAGAATTAACACCACTAGAGTTATCACCATTAGAATTAATACCACTTGAGTTATCACCTCTAGATTTGTCACCACTAGATGTATAATGATTTGGTTTATTGGCACTAGAACTATCGTCACTTCATTTTTCACCACTAGAATTATCACTGCAAAATGATTCACCACTCGAATTTTCACCACTAGAATTTGTACCACTAGAATTATCACCACTAGAATGTTCACATCTAAAACTATTACCACTAGATTTCTCTGACCAGATTTATCACAATTGGGTTCATCACAACTCTCTGTATCATCATAGATTTTTAACTACTAGGTTTGCCAAAAGTAGATTTAGCACGGTCAGGTGGTCTCCAGTGGTAGCCGAATTTCTTTCTTTCATAGTTTTCACTCTCGTCCGACAACAGGAGATCGAACATTTTATGGTAGAATAAATATTGTCAGTTGGGCTTTTCCCAACTTACGAAATTGATCTTGATTGGGTGGATCGATAGTTATCGATCCACAGTCAAATGTAAATAAATGGCAATGCCTCACTCTCCACAGACAAGGGTTGATTGTGGAAACTTCCCAAATTTATTTGTTGTTTGGGTTTGCTATTTTTATTGATGGAGGCTTAAACAGGTCCTCAGGAAATAGCCTTTTGGATTTTTATTGAGAGTTAGAGCACGTATACAGCTGTGAGTGCAATGTTATATCTCTGAGTGTATTATTTGAAGTGCAGTAAATGCACAGTGAAAGGTTTTCATCAGTTTCGGGCTAGTAGCGGGTATTAATGTAAATATTTTGTATACGCAGGACAATTAGGGAGTTCCTAGTCTGATACTAGCCTCTAGATCTATAGCGATTGCGAAACTCGACGTAACTTAAGGTGAACTTTATTCAAAAGGGAATATATATATTGATTATCACTAATCAATATTCTTATCATTATTTATTAATGTATTATATGATTATCATTATATAAATGACTATCAATAATGATATTATATATCATTATATATAAAGTATTTCTCTATACTTCTCTAAAAAAATAGTGTTTTCTCCATATATTTCTCTAATATAATACTGTGCTTTCTCTATATATTTCTCTGATATAATATTGTGTTTTCTCTAAAATATAATTGTGTTTTTCTCTAATATATAATTGTGCTTTCTCTATATATTTATCTAATATAATATTGTGTTTCTTTCTCTAATATAGTATTGTGATTTGTGTAATATAATTACTTGGATGTGTTTCCTAGTAACGTAGACAATTGAGAAAAAAGTGTTTGGTGAGAAACACGAACGATTGTGAAAATCGTCTAACTTTTCTAAATAAGGGCCAAGTATCACTCAGAATGTTCGGTATATGCTTATTTTTTGTGATGTATATATATATATATATATATATATATATATATATATATATATATATATATATATATATATATATATATATATATATATATATATATATATATATATATATATATATATATATATATATATATATATATATATATATATGTCGTACCTAATAGCCAGAACTCACTTTTCAGCCTACTATGCAAGGCCCGATTTGCCTAATAAGCCAAGTTTTACTGAATTAATATATTTTCTCTAATTTTTTTCTTATGAAATGATAAAGCTACCCATTTCATTATGTATGAGGTCAAATTTTTTTTATTGGAGTTAAAATTAACGTAGATATATGACCGAACCTAACCAACCCTACCTAACCTAACCTAACCTATCTTTATAGGTTAGGTTAGGTTAGGTAGCCGAAAACGTTAGGTTAGGTTAGGTTAGGTAGGTTAGGTAGTCGAAAAAACATTAATTCATTAAAACTAGGCTTATTAGGCAAATCGGGCCTTGCATAGTAGGCTGAGAAGTGAGTTCTGGCTACTAGGTACGACATATATATATATATATATATATATATATATATATATATATATATGTCGTACCTAGTAGCCAGAACGCACTAGCCTACTAATATTTTCATGAATTAATTGTTTTTCGGCAACCTATACCTAACCTATAGCTTTCTTGGCTACCTAACCTAACCTAACCTATAAAGATAAGTAGGTTAGGTTAGGTAGGGTTGGTTAGATTCGGTCATATATCTACGTTAATTTTAACTCCAATAAAAACAAAATTGACCTCATACATAATGAAATCGGTAGCTTTATCATTTCACCTGAAAAAAACTTAGAGAAAATATAATAATTCAGTAAAACTTGGCCTATTAGGCAAATCGGGCCTTGCATAGTAGGCCGAGGGCTACTAGGTACGACATATATATATATATATATATATATATATATATATATATATATATATATATATATATATATATATATATATATATATATATATATATGTCGTACCTAGTAGCCAGAACGCACTTCTCAGCCTACTATGCAAGGCCTGATTTGCCTAATAAGCCAAATATTTAATATATTTTCTCTAATTTTTTTCTTATGAAATGATAAAGGTACCCATTTCATTATGTATGAGGTCAATTTTTTTTTATTGGAGTTAAAATTAACGTAGATATATGACCGAACCTAACCAACCCTACCTAACCTAACCTAACCTATCTATAGGTAGGTTAGGTATATATTAGGTAGGTTAGGTAGTCGAAAAACAATTATTTCACGAAAACTTGGCTTATTAGGCAAATCAGGCCATGCATAGTAGGCTGAGAAGTACGTTCTGGCTACTAGGTACGACATATATATATATATATATATATATGTCGTACCTAGTAGCCAGAACTCACTTCTCAGCCTACTATTCAAGGCCCGATTTGCCTAATAAGCCAAGTTTTCCTGAATTAATATATTTACTATAATTTTTTTCTTATGAAATGATAAAGCAACCCTTTTCTCCATGTATGAGGTCAATTTTTTTTTATTGGAGTTAAAATTAACGTAGATATATGACCGAACCTATATAACCTAACCTAACCTATATTTATATATAGGTTATAGCCAAAAAAAGCTAGGTTAGGTTAGGTTAGGTAGGTTAGGTAGACGAAAAAACATTAATTCATGAAAACTTGGCTTATTAGGCAAATCGGGCCTTGAATAGTAGGCTGAGAAGTGCGTTCTGGCTATTAGGTACGACATATATATATATATATATATATATATATATATATATATATATATATATATATATATATATATATATATATATATATATATATATATATATATATGTCGTACCTAGTAGCCAGAACGCACTTCTCATCCTACTATGCAAGGCCCGATTTGCCTATTAAGCCAAGTTTTCATGAATTAATTGTTTTTCGACTACCTAACCTACCTAACCTAACCTAACCTAACTTTTTCGGCTACCTAACCAAACCTAATCTATAGAGATAGGTTAGGTTAGGTTAGGTAGGGTTGGTTAGGTTCAGTCATATATCTACGTTAATTTTAACTCCAATAAAAAAAATTGACCTCATACATAATGAAATGGGTAGCTTTATCATTTCATAAGAAAACAATTAGAGAAAATATATTAATTCAGGAAAACTTGGCTTATTAGGCAAATCGGGCCTTGCATAGTAGGCTGAGAAGTGCGTTCTGGCTACTAGGTACGACATATGACGACGTAAGTGAAACGCAGCACGGAACTACGCTCAAATGCCTCCTTCAGCTCCTGCAGAAGTCTGACATCAGGTACCTGTGTAAAAATGTTGTCAACATACCTGCAGTATATGGCCGGTTTCAAGTTCATGTCGACTAAGACTTTTTGTCTTAGGGGACGTTTTGTCCCCTAGGTGTCCTGTTTGCAAACTTCTACATGGGTACCATCGAGCAAAAAGTCTTAGTCGACATGAACTTGAAACCGGCCATATACTGCAGGTATGTTGACGACATTTTTACACAGGTACCTGATGTCAGACACCTGCAGGAGCTGAAGGAGGCATTTGAGCTGAGTTCCGTGCTGCGTTTCACTTACGAGATGGAAAAGGATGGGAAGCTGCCCTTTCTAGATGTAACAGTCATGGAAAAGAGCGGAGGTTTCTACACTGCAGTCTACACTAAGGAAACGAACATAGGAATGTGCCTAAATGCCAAAAGCGACTGCCCGAGATAAGTACAAGAGGAGTGTTGTTAACGCATATGTCGACCGTGCTCTCAGCCACAGCTCAGAATGGAAGCAAGTCGACGAAGAACTCTGTAGGGTAAGGCAGGTCCTAGTCAACAACGGCTTCTCCAATGGTTTCGTCGAAGACATCATAAGAAGGAAAGTGAAACGCCATGCAACCTCTGAAGAGACAACCAACACAACACCTGTACCCCCTATTAGACTATTTTACAGGAACTTCTTTTCAACAGCTCATAAAACAGAGGAAAGGGTCCTGAAATATATTGTTAATAGAAACGTTATCCCTACAGACAAAAATCAAAGGATACAACTGACGATTTACTATAAAACCAGAAAAACGGCCAGCCTACTCATTAGAAACTCTCCAGGCTCCAAAAAACCCAGTATATAGGCAAGACAACAACATCTCTTTCTAGGCGTTTAACAATGCATAAGCAACAGGGCTCCATTAAGGAACATATAATCTCTTCCCACAACCAAACCATCGCCAGAGAAATCCTAGTAAACAACACAGAAATCATCGATAGATACAGCGATAGCAGGCGGCTTGACGTTTGCGAGGCACTACACATCAAGAAGTCAACACCAGCAATCAACAGCCAATTAATGCACAACTATATTCTACCCACCTCAAGACTCCGCTCCAATATAGAAGCATCAAGAAATATGGACCAATAGGCTTTCTACAATCACTTCTATTCAATACCCATTGTTTCGTGTTCTGTCTTGTGTTGATGAAATTAATACCTTATTAAATACCACCTCACCCCATCCACCTCACTCAAATGTAGATATAAACAAATCGGAGATGTGTAAGTTCTATTCAGTTGTGTATGTTTAAACTAAAGTCTTTGAAAATGTAATAAGTTTTACGAAACGCTCTCAAGTGTCGCGTCAGACTAGAAATAAAAATGAATTTTGGAGAATTGATTTTTGAATTACCACCAACAGTGAAAAGAAATGTACGAAAGATTGAGAAAATTCGTGTTAGAATTATTAATCTTACTTTTTCGGTCATATTTAATAATATATATATATATATACATACATATATATATTGGCACACTAAGGCTCTGCCCCAGCAGAGTCTCTTTCTTGATCAACGGAACCATCTGTGAAGATGTGAGTGGTTGACAGTCTTGAGATGCTTTCCAGTTGTTGTTCTTTGACTGCTTTGAGTCTCGGCAAGTTGCATGCGGATGTTTTAACTGGTAATCCTTCCGTGACTATCATTAGACTCGATTCTTCTCATGGAGAAGGCTGCCGAAAGAGTTGATATAGGCTGTCTTTGTTTCTAATGGTCAGCTTCATGTCCACTTTCTGTAGAATCTTGACTAGATAAAAGCATTAGGTGCAATGTAAACAGATTTGGGCACTGCAATATGTTCAATAAAGGCGTCAGGGTACCTAGCTAGCCAGAAGTGATTTGGTCTGACAATGAAGAGAACAGGACCAGGGCAGAGTACCGAGGGAGTCCTGTTGATATTTGTCTGTGTAGATAGGCTTGGTAAATGGAGCACCAACATTGACCATTGTGTGAACCCCCATGGGATGTAAATTTGTTCTACTGTGTGCTGTCATAGCTGCTGGAATTAACGGAGCATATTTGTGTCACTGTACCTTCAATGGTTCATGTGGCAAGACGTCAATTAATTAATTAATTAAGGTTATCTAAAAAGCTGGGCATGCTAGAAATGAATAGTGGTGATATTGAGCGGGAAGTCACAGAGAAAATGCCTATTCTGGAGAATGAAGTGACAGTTAAGGTGACAGGCAGACAGTATTAGACGACATTGATTCATTAAGAAAATATGGAGAACTGGTCGATGAGTACAGGGCTTCAGTTTATGGTCCAGTTGTAAGAATCAACCATTAGAATTTACATCTGGAATGGAAGAAAACGGAGTTAGAACATAAAAACCGAAAGGGCTTTAACCGAGAGAGCGTTTGAGGACAGAGCGAGCACGTGAAGACAGAGGAACAGACATTGAGAAGCAGAGAATTCCAGGTAATAGGAGGATTCTAAGTGGATTCTAGACGGCCCAGCGAGCAAGTATTAAGCCATTGCTTTCCGTAATTTTAGGCTGGGTGAGTAAGGATTATGTTTTTCAATGTGAGAAGCAGGGACAATTGTGTGTATGGCTTAAGGACTAGTAAGTTACACTAATGGATAGAATGTTTACTGATAAAAATGTTCTTCCTTCTCCTGTGGAGGAGGAGGAAGTGTCCCGAAGCTTAGTCAGACGGATAAAGCTGTGGTCACAGCACAAAAAGTTAAGAGGGCCGAGACATATTGTACCAGCACATATGATGCATAAGGTGGGAAAACGGTTCGTTGGCACAAATTGCCCGAAACGCTATGCGTGCTAGTGGCTTTACAAGAATGCAATTTCAACTTAATTTCTATGTTCTCTGTTTAACCTCAATGTACCTTCTTGTATATAAATAAATAAATAAAATAAATAAATAAATATGTCCCAGTTCAATTAGTGGGAAGTGTAACGAACCTGAGACATGGGTAAGGAAGCTAAAGTGTGGGTTTTCTAGGGATACAGAATTATAGCCTCGACTGGTGAACCGGTCGTGGCAAGGAGACTGGTGAACCACCGGTCGTGGCAAGGGGACTAGTGGCGACATCAGAGCTCTCTCTGTACAGAGTTCCAGTTTTATACATGACAGAAGGAAAGTTGGAGTGTGCAGGCAAATACCTCTCCATATGTGGATATAGTTATGGAAAATAACATAGTAAAGAATTAGTCTCTTCCAAAGATGCAAGCAATAGAAGCCGCTCTATCACCGCCATGAGGTTCAGACCAGTTGGCGACTGGAGACGATATTAGGCAGAGGGTTACAAGGACCCCGACGAAAACACTCAAGTATTTCTATATCCGACGTGTGTCTTGGCACGAGCATGCATACTAAAGAGTGAAGACTTTTTTCGTATGGTTAGAGAAAGTAGTTCCAAAAGTAACAAGCTTTGCACTAAACCCAACGGGCAAGTTAAGAATGGTCAGAGAAGAGTTAGAACAGACCCAGCAAGGGTTGATTGAAGTGCAGTACCTCCCCAAGGGGGAAGAGGAGGGGAGGTCAGAGAAAGATGAAATAATTCCTTTATAGTAACCGAGGTGATGTTGATGAGGAAATGAAAGCCGCCTGTGTTAAGGGCGGAAAGACCTTTGCAGAAATGCAAAGCCTTGCCGCTATAATCACGTCGTCTGTTGGTGGGAAAACTATCGGGATTTGTGTCAAACAAACATACTGGTAGGCAAGGGCTTCGCATACCCTGGCGTCTCCCAGGGAGGATTGTTGCGGATACCCACTTCCCACATTAAATTATTTGTAAGACTATCTATTCAAATGTGTTGACAGACGATAAAGACGTCAGTAGTTTTTCTAACTACGGATTTCTTAACAAAGTCGTAGCCAAGCGGAAGAATCGCGATAGCCATTGTGTAATTCGAGCCCAATTTGCAAACACTCAGCAGCAATTTCTTTTGACTGACAGAGCTAACTGGATTACAGTATAAATGAAACAAGGAGCTTCTGAGTTAAAAAAAACTACTGACTAAAATTGAAACAAAACAATTATTAGATAGAAGTAAATAGTGACGTTATATAACATTGAAAGGCCTGCGAGGATCACTTGAGAGCTGGAGAGCCGAATTTGGTAATTCCCGGAGCCTTCTAACTTAAATGTTGGTGTTGGACTCACCAGTTCTTGCTGCCTATAATGTGAGTGGCGCTACATTTCCTCGAGGCACTACCCAATAGGGGAATCAGAATTACGTAGTGCATAGAAGTGAAGAATTAGGCGAATTTTTTCGTATGGCATGGATTTCTCAAAATTATTCAGTCGACTCGAAGGAGACATCTACTCCCAAGTTGTTTGAGTTGGTAATATAAGAGTTTAGGATAGAACAGTGATTGTCATTAAATTATCCATCCGAACTCAAGGAGCATTAGAAGGACATCACTAAACAGTAAGGAATATTTTGAGTATTAGGAAAAATGCACAAACTATACAAGATTATTGCTTTAACACTGTTGCTATTAAAAATTCACTAATAAAATGATTAGGGATTGCTGGCTTGACAGCAAGGGGGTCTGGACGTGGTCGCCAAACGCTCCCCAGTCTTTGCTAGGCGTTCCGTGTGGGAGGGTGTTGTTGTTGCATCTGCGCCATGGGGACCCACCATCTCCCTATTCGCCGCTCTGAGACCGTGGGTCTGGAATTTTCTGGACGTGTGTCTTACCTAGCTTACCTATAGCACTGTACCATCCTTTGCAGATGACACTAGGATTTTCATGAGAGTTGGCAACATAGAGGACACGGCAAACCTACAATCAGATGTAGATCAGATCTTTCTATGGGCTACAGAAAATAATATGGTGTTTAACGAGGATAAGTTCCAGCTCATGCGCTACGGAAAAATTGAAAATATAAAAACAGAAACCACGTACAAAACTCAGGCAAATCATAACATAGAACGAAAAGGCAATGTAAAGGATCTGGGTGTACTCATGTCGGAAGACCTTACCTTTAAAGAACACAATAAAGTAGCCGTCACAACTGCAAGAAAAATGAAAGGTTGGATAACAAGAACTTTTCACACTAGAGATGCTATACCGATGATATTTTTCAAAACGCTTGTGCTCTCTAGAGTGGAGTACTGCTGCACAATGACAGCCCCTTTCAAAGCTGGAGAAATTGCTGACCTGGAGAGCGTGCAGAGATCCTTTACTGCTAGAATCCACTCAGTAAAACATCTAAATTACTGGGACCGACTAAAGAGCCTAAATCTGTACTCCCTTGAGCGCAGGCGGGAGAGATACATAATAATTTACACGTGGAAAATAATTGAGGGGCTGGTCTCAAACCTGCACACAGAAATAACATCACATGAGACCAGAAGACATGGCAGGATGTGCAGAATACCCCCGTTGGAAAGCAGAGGTGCAACAGGTACTCTGTGAGAGAACTCTATCAACATCAGAGTCCCGAGACTGTTCAACACGCTTCCACTACACATAAGGGGCATAACTGGCCGACCCCTCACAGTGTTCAAGAGAGAACTGGATAAGCACCTCCAAAGGATTCCTGATCAACCAGGCTGTGACTCATACGTCAGGCTGCGAGCAGCCGCGTCTAACAGCCTGGTTGATCAGTCCAGCAACCAGGAGGCCTGGTCGACGACCGGACCGCGGGGACACTAAGCCCCGGAAGCACCTCAAGGTAACCTCAAGGTAGCCCTTGAGATTGTCCTGTTGGATATGCTGTGTGTGCGTGTTCCCGATGTGTACGGGCTCCAACTGCTGTCCACCAATCGGGCACTTGTTAAGTTTAACTCCGCTGCTGTCTATGGGGAGTTCGTGGCCCGTTATGATGGGCGCTCTCTTCCTCTCCCTGGGAACGGTGGTACCGTCACTATCTCTGACCAGTGCTGCTCGGTAACGTATGTGGCCCTGTATGGTGTGCCGTTTGAATTCATGGAGGCTTTGCTCCGACAGTATTTTGGCCAGTTTGGGACTTTCGTTTCCATCCGAATGAACTCCATCTCTGCCGGCAGGTGGCGTGGAGTCTCGTGTGGGACCTGGACCCTCGGCCTGCGGCTCAAGTCTCCTGTTCCCTCCACGGTGACCTTGATGGGCTACACTATGCGGGCGTTCTACGCAGAACAGCCTCGACAATGTTTTCGTTGTGGCATTGAGGGGCATCTGGCAGCTGATTGCACTGGGGTCACGGCTGCACCTTTTAATTTGTTCCGGGACGAGGATTTTCCCCCGTTGGTGGCGCAGAACCTGTCGCCTCGTGATGGAGTGGGTGGGGAGGTTCCCCTGCCGCCTGCTGACCCGGTGGAGGCTGTTGGCCCTGCATGTGTGGATGGTGGTGCACACGACGAGGTGGTGGTGTGTGCAGCTCCGCCCCCGCAGTCTGTCTCATCACTTCCAACGGCTTCTGCACCTGTTTCCGACTCTGCCCCTCTGTCGCCTTCGACGTCTCTGCAGGCTCCCTCACCTGTGTTGGACCCTTCCCCCTCATGTGGCCGCGCCTGTTCCTTCTCCTGTCTCCTCTGTGGGTGGCGGTCTCGTCCCCCGTGTTGTTGAGGCTGACATTCTGCGGGCTAATGCTACCCCGGTTGTGAGGCGGCCTGCCGCTGTCCTTTCTCGGGTGCCTCCTGCAGGGAGTGACAGCTCCGATGATCAACGGCCTGTCCCCAAGCGTTCATGTATGAATATGAATACGGGTGCATCGCCTCCTCGTTCATGGGCTGAGGAATGCGAGGATGCGGCGAGTGTTGATATTTCTTCTGAGAGCTGTTCATCTGTGGAGTGCAAGGATGATGCATCTGGTGCTGGTGTAGGTCCGGTGGATGGTGTGGGCCCTGGTGTGGCTCCTGCTGTGGGGGTGGGGGCCGGTGTGGGGCCGGTACCTGTTGCTTCGGGTGCGTCGCCCACGTCGAATGGTACTGGTTCCCCGTGGAGGGTGGTTTCCCTTGCGAGGTTGAGAGTGGACGTGGTGACCTGGTGGTGGTATTGAAGAAAACTGCTAGCTCTAACGGTTCCGTGCCCCCTCCCCTGTCCCCTGTTTCGTTGGCGGCGGTTATGCCGCCCCACGTGTCTCCGGCTATTTTTTTCTGTCTTCTGCTTTGTCGGAGGCGGTGTTGCCACCTCGGCAGCCTCCGCCCGCTGTTCTGGTGTCTCCTGCTTCCTCAGCAGCAGTGTTCCTGCCTCCCAAATCGGGTTCTTCGTCTTAGGTGTCCTGTGGTTGGGGGCGACCGCTTCTGCCGGATGTGGTGATCCACCAATTATATAGAGTACCCGCGGTGTCGTGAGGGCTGTTCCCATACCGAACTGGAGTATTTGATATGGGAGGCTCATAAGTGGAAGCATCCATCGTGGAAGTTTCCTGAGAAATATCCTCCTCGTTGACTGTTGTGTGTTGTGGGGTTGCTTGCGCCTGGGTACCTGGGTGTGGGGTCGGGTTGCATGTGTGTGTCTAGGTCGTGGGAGTTTTGTTTTCTGGTTCCTGCGTGTTCTGTTCTTTTATGCTTATAGTTTGCTTGTGTGTTTGTGTCTTTCTGTATATGTTCTGTGTGGTTGGGTGTGGTTTTATACTTCCAGCTCTGTGTGTAGTATGTGTGGCTGGTTGTGCTATTGTGCTGCTGTAGTGGTGTGTTTAGTGCAACCCGTTCTCGTACTTTCGTATAGTCAATATTGACTTACTAAATATGTGCTAAGTATGTCACATACGTGCATATGTGACATACTAAACATACTAGTTTACCTTGAAAAGCTTCATGGAAAACACCGAACTTACCTAACCTTCTTAGTATATTAAGATAAGCATCTTATTGCTTCGTAATTACAATTATTACTTAACCTATTATAGGTATAGATTAAGTAATAATTGTAGTTACGAAGCAATAAGATGTCATTAGTCACTGCTCTAGGCGGGAACCCACCTCCCGGTCTGCAGACAAGGTCGCACTGCTCTAGGCGGGAACCCACCTCCCGGTCTGCAGACAAGGTCGCACTGCTCTAGGCGGGAACCCACCTCCCGGTCTGCAGACAAGGTCGCACTGCTCTAGGCGGGAACCCACCTCCCGGTCTGCAGACACAGCCATCACTCCTCTAGGAAGGAACCCACCTCCCGGTCTGCAGACACAGCCATCACTCCTCTAGGCGGGAACCCACCTCCCGGTCTGCAGACACAGCCATCACTCCTCTAGGAAGGAACCCACCTCCCGGTCTGCAGACATGGCCGTCACTGCTCTAGGCGGGAACCCACCTCCAGGTCTGCAGACGCGGCCGTCACATTTGAGAAGGCTAGACTAGGCTCTTCCCTGTGAATTTCATCAAAACTGAAATTACACGAAAATCGTGCCGCTCTCACATTTTCCACATAAACTACATCATTCGTTGGGCCATCAAATGAGTTAGTAGAGTTAATACAAATGACTCGATGTGGGGAAGGCCTGAATTAGATGGCGATCGTTAAAGTGTGTACTCATTTAATTGTGCTTGTGGGATTTGAGCTTCGGCTCTTTGGATCTGCCTCTCAACCATCAATCATCTGGTGTACAGTTTCGTAAACCAATTCAATTCCAACATATCTACAATTGAAAATGAGTATACATATGCCTCCACCACATCGCTTCCTAATGCATTCCATTTGGTCTCATTTGGATACTCAGTTTCCATGTGCGTCCCTTTGTGTGAGTAACTCTCATTTTAAAATGTCTCTCTTTATCTACCCTATTAATTCCCTAAGAATTTTGTGTGAAGCAATTTTATCTCTCTTCACTCGTCTGTCTAGCATCTAGCGACGTAAAGTTTAATTCTTGTAGTCATTCCTTGGAACACATATCCTGTAGATCTGGAACTAGTGTGGTGGCAGACCTTCCACTCAACTTCGTTTTGTGTTAACTAGGTATGGACTCCACGATGGAGCCACATACTCAACGATTGGTATAAGTGGTATACAAAGTTCTAAGTGATTCATTACATAAATATCTTAAGGCAATTCTGATGTTAGCCGGTCTTGCATATGCTAATGATGACATCCTTTGTATTGGGCTTCAGGAGACATAATCCCTTAGATCTTTCTCTTTGCCCATTTCTTGGAGAATTTTTACTCCCAGTTGGTACACTGTGTCTGGCCTCCTGCTTGTGATACGTGGCCTTACTAGCAAGGAGGCTTCTCTTTTCCAGGCTATCAGAGGGGGAGGTTCCGAAGGGAAATGTTGCCACGCTGGATGCTGCTTTAAGGTGCCCTCCATCCACTGCCAAAGTTCGTTTATCTCCATTCTATAGGTTATTGATGCTGTAGGAATATACGTTGAAGGGAGCACCCTCCTGGAGAGAGAAATCCACCGTCGATCGGTCCTCAGAAGGTCCCGCCTTTATAGGGTCGAAAGTTTTTTCGCTGGTTGCTGTAGAATCCTCTCTGGGTGTCCTCTGTCCCTGAAACCTTACCAAAGTATATACAAGTCCTTCATGAGTTCACTGTCGACACTCATTATCCAGTTTATACGGATTCATAACGAATAGGGGAGAGATCTCCTTAAAGATGTTGGGTGACAGGAAGTATTTAGAGCCACTAAATACTACAACCACTAGTATACTTCGGGCCACTAGAACTACGACCCCGAGCGCTATCCATAGAGCCTCGAGGTGAGTGTGTATGTGTATGTATGTTTGTGCGTGCAGATTGGAGATTTAACTGTTGGACCAATGTGTACTCACCTAGTTGTACTAACATATTTGTGGTTCCGGGGGTTGAGCTCTGGCTCTTTGGTCCTGCCTCTCAACTGTCAATCAACTAGTGTACAGGTTCCTGAGCCTACTGGGCTCTATCATATCTACACTTGAAACTGTGAATGGCGTCAGCCTCCACCACATCACTTCCTAATGCATTCCATTTGTCAACCACTCTGACACTTAAATAGTTCTTTCTAATGAATCTGTGGCTCATTTTGGCACTCAATTTCCACCTGTGTCCCCTAGTGCGTGTGTCCCTTGTTTTAAATAGTCTGTCTTTATCTACTCTATGAATTCCTTATAGGGTAGGGTGTGCTTGTCAATTCCTAACATGCACACTGTGTGAGAGTGTGCATGTGTGTGAATAAACGCATTCATACGAATATGTTTTATTTTCCAGGTTTGGGCGTGTATGATAGGAGGGTCGTTGGTGGTGGGCATGATACTGGGTGTAATGCAGACAGTGGAGGATAACTTCTTTAAATCCACCGCCATGCCCCCACCCATCCACGTCCAGCCCTCAGCCGTCCACGTCGGCATCCACGTCCATGTTATGAAACAGACGGCCTACATGTTCAAGATATTGGTTTTCCAAGGTTGGGTTGTTATGGCTGTTCAAATTTATATTAATTTTGTTAGCTACACTTAATTCATTTGTGCGCATGTCAGGAAGAAAACAATTATATGATGAGGTCGTAACCAACCAGATAGGCTGGACATGTTTTACACACAGACTGAGATGGTCAGGGTCATTGAAAACATTGATCTTTAAATGCTAATTGGATTCAGTGACCACTGTGTTTTAATCTTCGAATATACAGTTATAATGAAAGCTAATGAAATATTTAAAGGAGGGAGAGTGACAAACGGTGATGTTAGGAAGCAACTACAAGAACTGAATGTACAACAGCGGCAGGACCAGACGAGATTTTGTCCTGAATAACAACAGAGGCATCAGAAGCACTATGCAGTCCCATTTCTGAAGTTTTAATTTCTCTTAGGAAACCTGTATATCAGGATGAAAGGGATTCAGGTTCTTGCATAAGAAAATGTAAAAGAGTACACAACCATAAAATGAAATGTCAGATGCATCCGGTAATTGAAAACACACGCAATACACACATAGTGTTTCTGTGACTTGATAGTGAAGGTTTTAGTGACTACATATCAGGTACCATAACAACTGGAGGACAAAAAATTATAGTCGTAGTCATATGACGTTATGGGAGCCAGTCGGCCGAGTGGACAGCACACTGGGCAGGTGATCCTGTGGTCCCATGTTCGATCCCGGACGCCGGCGAGAAACAATGGACAGAGTTTCTTTCACCCTATGTCCCCTGTTACCTAGCAGTAAAATAGGTACCTGGGAGTTGGCCAGCTGTCACGGGCTGCTTCCTGGGGGTGGAGGCCTGGTCGAGGATAGGCCGTGGGGATACTAAAGCCCCGAAATCATC